GTGTCCCCCTGCCAGCCCTGCTGTCCCTCCTTTCCCCCTCAGGGAGCTCAGCTTCTCTGAACCCTGACCCAACCCTGACTTGGATCAGCCTGGCTCATTCACAGAATTCTCCAGAGGTTCCTGGCACTCCTCCTCCAGGGGAGCATTCTGCTATCAGCACAACCAGCAGCCAATCATTTACTTTGTGTCTCCCTGCGCATTCTTGTTGTTCTGCAATTTTTTGTTTGCTTGGCAGGATTTGCCTCCTGTCGAGACTAAGGAGCATCTATTAAGCCTCATATTAACATTTCTCAGAGATCTTTAAAAACCTGAAAGTTAGCTGGCCCCACCTCTCCTCAGCATCTTAAAAATCCCAAAGTAATCCATCCCATAGCATTGTCAGACTGGGGGATGCTCAAGAGGAAATTGCACATACTCATAGAAAACAACATTCAGCTTGAACCAATGGAAATACTCATTGCAGCCAGCTGGGACAGCCTTATTGACCCATTCTCATTTCCTGCAAAAGGTAGGGCTGAATGGGACTGTAGAAAGCAGGAATGCAGTAAATGGAGGGAAGCAGAAGCTGGAGGCAAAGTGCAAGGGCTGTAGAAATGACCTCTGGGACTTCAAAAGGCAGCGTTAAATTGAGCCATTTTGGGTTCTTTATGCTGTCTGCACCTTCTGACCAATTTGAGATCAATGAACAACAGTTTGCCCATGTTTTGCTTTTGTTTCCTGATGGCAGGCAGCACAAAAAGCCAATTCTCCCCAGATAAGGTGAATCAATCAGCACTGCAGGTCCCAGTCCCTGTGTGACATTGGTGCTTTACATGAACAGGCAGGTCCAGAGTCCTCAGCTGATACCAACAATTTATGCACAGGTAATGCAGTCACATCCCCCTAATCCTGCTCTCCTCTGAGCAGCCTGCACTGGGGGAGTGGGAGGCACAGGAGCATCTCTGTGTGTCCCTTCTCTCCAGGACATTGGAACTCTGCTCTTCCATTCTCACTCTGAAATCTCCTGACTTCAGGCTCTGCTCGGGGCTGCAGAGCTGATCCAAGCTGTCCCAGTCACTACTATTAATAGAATAACTCCATTTTGCATAAAATAAATTTCCTTACCTCCCAGTATTTATTCCATGTGAGTCATAACCGAGTTATCTGAGACAATACCTGTCAGCTGAAAAGTCTGACACGTGGATGATCTGTTTGTTCATTTGTTTGTTTGTGATAAGCAAATTAGGAAATGGATTTTTCCTTCTGGAAAGCTCCTCTGTGCCTGTTGCCTCCACTTCACCAAAGACTGAAAGATGAACCAGAGTGAGAATTCTGCACTTGTGTGTCCTTGAACTAGATAGAGCTTTATGGTGTGAACTCACACACTGTGCAGGGATGAAAACTCTATTTATTCAGGTCCATATTTTAAAATGGTATTGCAGGGACTTCATTACAATGAAATACCTTAAAAAATCCTTACCTCAGGGAACAGCAGACATAAATGTGTATATAAAACAACAGTGCTTTGGGAGCTAAGGTTTTGATCACCTCTGTTTTAATGGAAAGCCAGTTAACAAGCACACATAAAACTGTCAAAAAGTGGTTTTGGCTGAGTCACAGCTCTGCAGTGGGTCTAGCCCCTGCTCCTGCAGCAGGAGCACCAACACTGTGAGTTCAGAATGCACAGAAACACAACCCAAGCACAACTGAGCAAAGAGCACACGAGGAACTACAGTGCCTGATGAGCAGCTGAGAGTCCCAGCCTCACAGTGATGCTGGCACTGCCAGGTTCCTGTGGGTGCAAACTGGAAACTGGATCAAGCAGCAGCTCACAGGATGTTCTTTCACAGGGAAAGATTCAGTTTGCATCAGGGTGCATCAGTTCCCATCAGTTCCCTTCAGCAGATGGATCTGCTGATTTACCCTACACTTGCTCCACTGATCCAAGCCCTACAAGGCCATTTTAAAATTTCAGGTTCAGTTCTTGCTGACAATGTCAATTCTTTAATCTCTTTCAGAACGCCATAGCAACAGTTGCACTAATCTTTTGAAGACCACTTTTCATCTTACAACTCTTTTTGTAATGTAATCAGGCACAGGGCAATAAAAGATACATGATCTTCCTTGCTTCATAAGTTTGGAATGGCTCACAGGAGACGAGCTCCAGTCCATGGGTCAGAGCAGCCTTTATCTTTGCTCCACCCAAAGCAGGGAAAAGTTTGCTGAGAGACTTTCCAGGGACTTTTCCTCAGGGCAGGGCAGGGACCTGAGCAGCCCCCACAGCTGGGACACCGCAGTGTCCTTGGGCAGCTCCTTTTCCTGCTCACTCTTAAAAATGTGCAGTGACAGCTTTGGCTTTGCATGTTTGCAGTTCTACCCTGGAACGCTCCGTGCTTAAAATCAACAAAATCTCCTTTCCCCCAGAGGATTACAAACCCCACTTGCTGCTCAACACTGAGATCTCATTTGTGGACACAGCCCCGTGCTGCTGCTGTGCTGGGCAGGCAGATACAGACTGTGAGCTGCCTTCCCAGCAGGGCCAGGGTCACCCTCTGTGCTCTCAGGGACTCCTGTTCCTGAGCAGGAGAGCTGCCAGCTCAGCAGCTCAGCTGGAGATTAATGCCTGCACGAAGGAAGCACCCTGGCTGGATGTGCAGGGTTAGCTGAGAGAGAAGTGAAAATTCCCTTTATCTACCAGCATCCTGCTAGTAAAGCCAATTGTGCTCTGGTGCTCCATCCAGCTGCATTCTGTTAACACAGTGTATTTTGGCTCTGGCTAAGTGTTATCACAAGGCACAGCAATGAGATAACACAAGAAAGCTTTGTGAAGAGAAAGGTTTAATGATTTCATTGTTTGAACCCTCTGTTTGAACCCACAGTGCCTACTGGCAATCTGCTGGGAATAAAGGATCTTGCCTTACATGATTTATAAAACACTAAACTCATCCTTTTAGACCTCAGTTCTTACAGGAACCCTCGCAGGCAGATGAATTTTAATGCAGGATAGACACAAGTCTGCAAGAACCCTGAATGCAAGTGCAGAGGCATCACACCCTGACAGGAGATACCAGAACCTCCCTTCCCTCAGATATGGAACACAGAGAAGAAGCTGATGAATTCTTTCATGAAAAGAGCAAGAAGACACAAAGTCTGCCAGAAGACACATGCCTGTTGTTTGGCAGTGGAAGGCATCTATCTCAAAATAAAATCTGACCACAAAAATTCTGCTTCGTGCACGTTCTCCAGTCCTTAGAGGACAGATGCTCCAATAAATATTCCCTGCTCAAGCTGACAGGTAATGAGGACAATTATTTCCCCCTCAGATCTGGAATGCAGTGCAGGCTTTCTGCTGACTTGACAGACTGTGGATCAGGAAATTGCTGGCCATGACCTCATTTGATATGAGCAGCAGTTTCACTCTTCAAAGGGGAAGAATATATTGAAGATTGGGACTTCCAGGAAATAATACTCATCTAATTATCTGCTGAACACTGTTCAAAGAAAAGACTGCCAAAATTTTGCAACCAAGATGATGCACTGGAGGGACAACACTCACAAGAAGCATAGAGCAATGTCTAACTCTTCTTCCAAATCCTGACCAACAGAAAATAAAATGCCTGCCTAACAACAGCACAGCTGAAATGCTGGAGAATCCAGTGAAATTCCTTGTTTTCCAAAAACACTGAGCAGAGAGAGCAGATTTTAACCCAAACCATTTACTCACAGGAAAGTCTGCACTTCATGATTCTTAAATGTATTATTGAGGCTATTATTGTTTTCTATTTTTGACCTCAAACCAGAAGTTCTTACACTACTAGGTCATGAAGCAGAAGAATCAGTATCAGCCTCAGCCTACCAAGGACCAAGCAACCTGGCCTTCAGCAGAAGGTCCTTGAGGCCCTCTGGAGTTGCAAGTTCAAGGCAATCAGCAGCAGGAAGAAAAATCTACTGGGTTTTGTGGGAAAAGCAAAGAAATTGAGGGTTTAAACATGAGGGAGATGGTTGAAGAGGCAGCACCCCTTCCTCTGAGCATCCTATCCTTCTGAGCATCCCTTCCTTCTGAGCATCCCTTCCTTCTGAGCATCCCTTTCTCTGAGCATCCCTTCCTCTGAGCATCCCTTCCTCTGAGCAACCTTCCCTCTCAGCATCCCTTCCTCTGAGCATCCCTTCCCTCTCAGCACCCCTTCCTCTGAGCATCCCTTCCCTCTCAGCACCCCTTCCTCTGAGCATCCCTTCCTCTGAGCATCCCTTCCTCTGAGCATCCCTTCCTCTGAGCATCCCTTCCTCTGAGCATCCCTTCCTCTGAGCATCCCTTCCTCTGAGCAACCTTCCCTCTCAGCATCCCTTCCCTCTCAGCATCCCTTCCTCTGAGCATCCCTTCCCTCTCAGCACCCCTTCCTCTGAGCATCCCTTCCTCTGAGCATCCCTTCCTCTGAGCATCCCTTCCTCTGAGCATCCCTTCCTTCTGAGCATCCCTTCCTCTCAGCATCCCTTCCCTCTCAGCATCCCTTCCCTCTGAGCATCCCTTCCTCTGAGCATCCCTTCCTCTGAGCATCCCTTCCCTCTGAGCATCCCTTCCCTCTGAGCACCCCTTCCCTCTGAGCATCCCTTCCTCTGAGCATCCCTTCCTCTGAGCATCCCTTCCTCTGAGCATCCCTTCCTCTGAGCATCCCTTCCTCTGAGCATCCCTTCCCTCTGAGCATCCCTTCCCTCTGAGCATCCCTTCCTCTGAGCATCCCTTCCTCTGAGCATCCCTTCCTTCTGAGCATCCCTTCCTCTCAGCATCCCTTCCCTCTCAGCATCCCTTCCCTCTGAGCATCCCTTCCTCTGAGCATCCCTTCCCTCTGAGCATCCCTCTCCTGTGGGGTCAGTGTAGCAGCACCTGGGTGCTGTGCACAGAGTGAGGATGGTTCCAGAGGCAGTGCCAGGGCAGGGAGCTCTCCCTGCTGAGGCTGAGGCTGAGGCTGGGCTGGCCCTGCCTGGCTCAGCACGGGTGGGCACGGGCTGGGAGGGGCTCTTACCATGGCCAGGGGCACGATGCCCACCAGGTCCTTCTGGCAGATGAAGATCTCGGCCAGGGCGGGCTCGGAGGAGCCGTGCTGGGGGTACTCCACCTGCCAGCTGATGGGCTGTGTGCCCGACAGGCTGCTGAAGCTGGCGATCTCAAACTCCAGCTGCACGACCTCGTGGAACAGGCTGGTGCTCCTGGGGACAGCAAACAGAGCCATTACTGGGGCTGCTGAAGGGAACCAGCTTACACTGCCAATGCAGGTGGTTACCTGAGCATATCACACTTCTACAAGACTTATTGCAATCTACAACTGCCTCAGAGCACACAAACTGGGATTATCCATAATTACTCCAAGCTTCTGCTATGGGCACTGTGGAGGGATGGAATCCAGCTTATTATAACACACATTCCATTCCAAGTTCTGTTTGATATTTCAAATATATTTCACGCTCTGACTGGGATCTGGACTCTGATCAACCAAAGTTAAGGCCAGTGCAGCTCATGCAGGCTGAGGAGCCCAGAATTACTGCAGCCAAAAAGAAAACCAAGGTTTTTTGTAGATGTCCACCACAAAAATCACAGAAATCCTCAGCAATGAAGGTTAGTGTGGGGGAGCCCAGAATTACTGCAGCCAAAAAGAAAACCAAAGTTTTTTGTAGATGTCCACCACAAAAATCACAGAAATCCTCAGCAATGAAGCTTAGTGTGGGGAAGTCATTAAACAATTAACAGGATTAAATGAAAAAAATGACAATTTTAGTCTAACCTTAGAGGTGCTCTCTGGAAATTAAAATCTCAGGCAACTGAGACCAAACAAAGAAAAAATCTGTGGCAGGTAAAATACACCAGAAACTCAGTAAGTGAATTTGAAAAACAAATATGAAAAGACATGCTGGAAATGTTTCCCTCGTATTAAATTCTTTAACTACACCAGAAATAATAAGAATAGATGAAAAATATTTACTGGCCTAGCTGCTGGCTTAATTAAAAAAAAATTAAAAAAAGTTTAAATCCCCTTCATTAGAAATTATCCATTAAATTCCCTGGAACTTTCTAAATGCCTTCCCACAGTGTTAATATTCCACTGAAAATTCCTGCAATCCAACCCTAGCTGAAATGATTTGCAAATGAAGGGAATGACAGGTAACTTCCCAGCTCAGTAAGCCAATCCCAGCCTCATCACACCTTTGCCTGCATTCATCACGTAACAGCTTCCATTTTTCCTCTCTTTTTTACATACAATACATGAAGGCCCATTTCTGAGAGAATCCATCAAGAACTGATCATGTACAAAGCACTTAAAATCTCAAGTGCCAGACCTTCTTTCTCCCTCTGAACTGAAATCACCGTTTTTTGCTACTTAAGACATATTCTGTGCTTTACTTTGCGTGATTCCTTTGAAAGCAAATGGTTCCCCTGATAATTATTATTTTGATTATGGGTTTTCATTTGGATGGCTCCCTCTGAAAAGTCTTAATACTACCTAATGCTTGAAATTTATTTCCTTGCTGTTTTCTTGCTGTGTCAAAAGAGAGACACTGGAGCACTTTTGTGACAGTGGCACATTTCCTGCCTGCATTTAGAGAGTGATTTTGGGCAGTAATGTGATGGATGGATGGGTTTAGCAATTCATAACTCAAGCCCAGCCTATTGCCACTTGAAGAGCTCCTACTAAATAAATCTCCCAGCCTGTAAATAGGAGGCAGCTGCAGGAGCTGGGGTTTACACTCCTCTGGGACAGCTCCCAGTGAACACACGCTGCAGGGAGCTCGGTCATTTCTGTGCAAACATCAGCACATGCAAAGGCACCTGAATCACCTGAGCTGCAGTGTTCCTTTGGCTGCTACAGGCACCATTATGGCCCAGATTAATGACACCTGAAATGACATTATTTGCACCATTTCTAGTTCTGATTCTTAGCAGCTGGCAGAGAAAAAGTTTTTCCATGTGATTGACCACCCCAGTGCTTTCACTCCCACCAAATGGAGAATAAATCTTGGCACACATCAGAACTGCTCCAAGAGTTAATGAACTCCAGGAAAGGTGTCCAGATGAAGAGGTTTGCATGCATTTCCCCAGGGATCTCTGAAATTGTGCAGCTTTCCAGCAGAAGCCCCACAGCTCTGCTGGCAGCTGCAGGTGGGACCCTGCAGCTGGGCAGGAGCTGATTTCCAGCCAGCCCTGACTCCCAAACCTCCTCTCCCTTTCCCTGCGTGTCCCAGCCCTGCTCCAGGACTCAGCAGGGGCTGGTGACACACCCAGGCCACGTGGAAGGCTGGCCCAGGTAAGGACCAGGGCTGGGTTTTGCCAAGTCCTTCCTAAGCACTGCCCAGAGTTCTGGTGGCACTGGCGAGCACAGCACTGGGCTCTGGAATGGCCTTCAGCATCCTAACACCATCCTGCACCTGAGGTGTGGTTTGAGGAGCCATTCTGGGACAGAAATCATTGTTATCAGCTTTTCCAAAACACCTGCCAAGCTGGGATTGCCAGTTCTCCCCAGCACTGGTGTCACTGAGCTCTCCTGGCCAGGTGTCCCCTGGCCCATGACAAAGACAGGCTGCTTTAGTGGTGGAGGGCCTTAAAAATGGTACCAAAATTCATCATCAGAGAACTGATTAATGCTAAAGCATCTTTTTCTGTAAAACATGAGATACAAAAAATGTCAAAAAATGTGCATGGTGCAAGACAGAACTTTTCTTGGTGCTCCTCCAGGCTGACCTGCATCACCATTCCAGTGCCTGCATCCCTGAGTGAGGCACCCTCCACAGCACAGCAGCCTGGATGCAATGTCACACCATCATCACCTTCCTCCTTCCCTCTTCCCACAGAAGAAACAGAGAGACGAGCAACAGCTGGGAAAGCATCCACTTGAAAAAAAATCTGCCTTCAGAGATGTGTAATGGCTGAGGAAAAAATGCTCCTCCTGAAGCACATTTAATGTTCAGAGCTTGTTCACTGACTGAAACAGCAGTTCCTTAATATCCCACATTTAGGAGTGCTCAGCAGCCGGAACAGCAAGTAATTATAAAACTTTTCTAAAGTACACAGCACGCAGTGATTACAAATGAAGCTTCCTCAAGGAAGAGCTTCCAAGGAATTGCTCCAGGGTGGATAGATGAGTCTAATTTGATTGGATTGAGAGCTCCCCTGGGCCAGGTCGCTCCTTGGATTTATTTGAATTCACAGAAATGCAAATCATTCAGGGCCAGACTGGAGCAGGAGCCAGCACGGGGGAGTGGGGGCTCTTTGGATGTGCTGAGCAGCCCTGGCAGGGCAGGTGTGGGCACAGACATCAGCCAGCAGCTGAGGCACAGGGGCATGCTGAGGAGATGCTGGTGCCCACAGCTGAGCCTGCAGGTCAGGGATGGGGAATGCACTCCTGGCAGAGGCTGGCAGCAAAGAGCAGAGAGCCCCTGCACGCCTCTGAGCAGCACAGCTCGGAAAAGAAGGTGGAATGGAAGTGTTCTGCTAATGCAGAGATAATAAAAGATGCATAAAAAGCAAAACAGAAGTGACATCAGGAGAAAATGCCATGAAAGTTGCCAGCTGCTGCCAGCTGTGTTGGCAGCACACACCCTTGGCAGATCAGCAGTGCTAACTGCACCAGCACTCTTGACTTTAGAAGATTTTCAAGTATGATATTAAGCATTCCTTTGCAAGTACTTATTGATCATTCAAACCTTCAGTGCCCTGAGAAACATTTACCCTTGGAAGAAGATTTTCCTTCTATTCACATGCAGGACTGGCTCTACCAAAGCTGTACTTAATTTAATGCAGGGGATTTAAAACCTGGTACAGTGGGTGAACAACCCAGCTAAGCTCACACTGGGGTTAATGCCACAGACAATGAACACAAAACAGATTCTGGTTCCTTCAGGGGTCTGGAAAAAGGGGAGCAACGTGAAACCTGCCCAGGGCTGAGCTGAGGCCAGGGATAGTGACCACTGAGGCCAGGGATAGTGACCACTGAGCCCAGCATCAGTGACCACTGAGGCCAGCATTAGTGACCACTGAGGCCTGAATTAGTGACCACTGAGGCCTGCATCAGTGACCACTGAGCCCTGCATTAGTGACCACTGAGCCCTGAATTAGTGACCACTGAGGCCTGAATTAGTGACCACTGAGGCCTGAATTAGTGACCACTGAGGCCAGCATCAGTGACCACTGAGGCCAGCATTAGTGACCACTGAGGCCTGCATCAGTGACCACTGAGCCCTGCATTAGTGACCACTGAGGCCTGAATTAGTGACCACTGAGCCCAGCATCAGTGACCACTGAGGTCATCATCAGTGACCACTGAGCCCAGCATCAGTGATCACTAAGGCCAGCATCAGTGACCAGGCCTGTTCTGCAAAGGTTTCCTGGGGCAGAGGGGCACCAAGGAAAGCACAGAGAGCTCAGCTGCTGCCAGGGCCATCAGCAGACAGAAACCTTTGCTGCATGCCCATCTGCAGGTGTGGCCCAGCAGTCTCTGATGAGAGATTTCACAGTGCTGGGTTATTGCTCCAAGTAATAGAGCAGTTTCCACTCTGAAATGAGTGAATCTGAGCACTGCTAGGGGCTAAATCAATAATTTCGATTTATTACAGTGACTCTCAAAAGAGAAATTTTAAAAAGCCTAGATTAAAAACATTTTTTAGCCATCCTTTATTTCAACAGATTTTTACTGAAAGTGCCCAGGGATCCGAGAATACTTCGACCTGCTGGAAATTCAGCAACTCCTTTCTTCTCTAATGCTCTCCAGTTCTGACAGTGACATCTTAATGCAAGATCAGCACTTACCAAATGACATAAAAAATGGAGAAGAGCACCAACCCCACCATCCCCCAGTTACAGCACACATCTGACTCTTCACTGAAGGGATGAATTGAAGCATGTGCAGGGAAAAGCCATCAGAGGCTGCTGCTGGTCAAACTGGACCCCAGAGCACTCTGTGGGGCAGCTGAGACACAGCTGAGACACCTTAGAGAAGGGCTCAGGGTTTGTGTTCCTGCTCTCCCCACCCTGGAGAAGGGTTTAGGGCTTGTGTTCCTGCTCTGCCCACCCTGGAGAAGGGTTTAGGGCTCGTGTTCCTGCTCTGCCCACCTTGGAGAAGGGTTTAGGGTTTGTGTTCCTGCTCTGCCCACCTTGGAGAAGGGTTTAGGGTTTGTGTTCCTGCTCTGCCCACCCTGGAGAAGGGTTTAGGGTTTGTGTT